AGTCTAAATTATCATAGGACTGTGTTTGAATGACAAAATATTGAACTCTTGCTGGATTATTTATGTGCATGAATCAGTGCTTGTTTATCTAATCTTAAAACATTTTGATGATAATTTGAAATTACATTGGTTTATAATTAAATCTGATTTGAATAAGAATCTTTAAAATTTCGTCATTGCTGTTTTTGAATTCAAAATTTAAGAACTTAGATTCTGAACTGACTTACCTCAAAACCAAGAAAATGTGGATCAAATTAAAGTCTTCTGCATTGATTCCTCAAGACCTTGATCATTGAAACTAAAGTCTAGATAGAAGTCTTAATATTAAAATAATTTTAGAACTTAAATGATAAACATTATTAATTTCCTTGTATGAGTTGTCATCACAAAAAGGAGATATTGTATGAGGTTTTGACAATGAAAAATAAAAATATAAATAAATAAAATAAATGGATCGAATTATATTTAATATCACATATATACACAACATACATGAGTGATCTATTGGACTCATGTTTATAATTAAATAAATATAAAATTATAAATAGTGCATAATGATGATGTGAAGTTTTCAGACAATAATTTTGATGAATGTGTTTTATACTCATAATTTAAGAATTTATGATCTATTTTCTGTTTGCAATCATTACTTTATTTACTCCTATGAAAACTACCTCTAGAAGAAAAGTAATGAGTTGGAGTTCAAATATTTCTTGGTGTGAAAGCTTACTCATTATAGTAGATATTTCATGATTTAAAATTATTATTGCAATCATTTTCTGTGGAGAGTCGATTGAATCTCAACTATGCAAGCAGCCATTTATAATTTTTTAAATATCATTAAATATTAATTAAAAATTATTTCTAAAAATCATATATCTCTGAATTAATGATGTGAAATATTGATCTGATGATATATGTTGACATCACACTCATATTATATTTGAGGTAATTTAGATTTAATTTGATTTTAAAATTATTCCTTACTTCCAGATATATTAACAATTGTGTTTCTAACTCTAATATATTCTTAGTGGATATGCCACAATTGATAACTTTGGACAAATAAGTTAAAGCTTAATGCCTACATTTATTGGCTTAATTCTAGACGAAATCTGGATCCTTCAATGGTGTGTCTCAGTTGTTTTTCACTATTTAATTTTTTAACCATTTTAAGCATTTAAACATCAAATAAGTGCAGAAATAGAGAAAAATTGTGACTCAAATTTCTCTATAAATCTCATCATGAAGAGGAACTAGAAAATCAAAAAAAATTCAATTGTCTCTTTATCAAATTCTGAAGAATGTCAACTATGATATTTTCTTTATTTCATGTGTCATAAGCTTATGTTTAAGTTTGATCTTATTTCTTCAAGAGAGTTGAGACTTATAATCAGCTTTAGCCCATCAAGAGTCTTGAATCTATAAACAAACTTCTAATTGAACCTCTCAAGGAGATGAGCCAAGTAATCAATGATTGTTGTGAAATATTGATTTAGTGAAATCCAAGAATGAAGTGTTCAAGAGAAGGAATGTAGGTAAGGAGCTAAACCACTACAAAAATCTTGATGTCATCAAGATTTAGGTAAAGGAGATCCAAGATAATTTAAGATCAATAAAAAATATCAAGAAAATTATATGGTTAATCTAAAGAAAAAATTAGGATAAGGACAATTTAAACCCTCATTGATTTAAGTACACCCCTAAATCTAGAAATTTTCTCACTATTAACACAAACGTATTATCCTTTCTCTCCATTATTGCTAACTTTTTTTGAGTTACACGTAAAAAAGTACAGGTATGTTACTTACAAAAATGGATTTTGAAATTGAGAATAAACTTCCTATCTTTTTTGAGCATTCGAATGCTTGAGAAAGCTCTTACAATGTTACATTTTATAGTAAGAATCAGATGAAGATTTTAACATGAATAGAATGGATTGATTTATTTTAGGTGTACATTGCAAGCTCTTGTGATGAGCTTTTTTGTACAGACGAAAAATGCAAAATTAACTTGTCAATCTGACAGATTTTTGACCATGTCACTCTAGACATTTAAGTGCAATATTTTCTATTTTTTTATTCTCAAACATGTAAGCCATTTCTCTCTTCTATGATTTAGTCTTATCTTTAAATGAGTAGACATACATTGACATATTTCCTATCTCCAATTTTCTTGGGTCAGCACTAGTTGACACACTTTCTCTCTCCTTTACATTAAGTAGGTTAATACATTTTCTGTCTCCTTCACTTTCACAAGGTCAACTTATTTCCCTCTCGTCCACAAGGCATAGTTTGAGACACTTTTTCTCTCCTCAATTTTTATTTTTGGATTCTTTTATTTTTTTGAATATGAATTTCTTATATTATATATCCTTCTTGATGATTCTTTCCACTAAATTGTGCTTGGAAGATATACCCTAATGGAAAATGGGCTTGCATATTTAGATCTTCACCCAAACACTGGTGAAAGAATAACATACTTATGAAGAATTTATTTTACCTTTATATGATTATTTTTCATCATTGTTTTAAAATCAACACCTTTATCAATTAGAAAACCCAGTCATTCATACCAACCTCTCAATGTCTTTTTGAAACTATGCAAACCCTTTATGTAGTTTAAAAACATGATTCGATACATCATTATTTTTGGAACTTTGGTTGTTACATATGAACTTATTTCTTGATAAAACATTTAGAAAGTTATCATTGACATCCATTTGAATCAATTTTAAATCTTAATTACTAAAAAGTACATGTAAATCTCAGATGGCAACTGGACTAGCTGTATGGGTTTCATTAAAATCGATACCTTACTCTTGTTTATATCTCTAAGTGACAAAATAATTAGTATAATTTGGTGTGACTCGTTTTAGTCAAAGCCACCAAAAATTGATATAAATGATGCCTTTGACAAACGACAAAGGAAATCATACATTTTCATAAATAAACCCATTATATTCAGGCAATACACCATGGATGGTGATTTATTGTTTTTCTTAAGTAAATCTTGTACTGCATTTCTAAGCTTAATACATTTCATTATAGGAGTGAACCTTGATGAAGTATTGGAGTTTGGCATCTCTCCATATGCAAGGTCAAGAGTTCATTGCCTTCAATTCACATCATCTTTAGATGAGTAAGGTCAGCACATCTTACATCTCCTAGTGTAGATGTGTAGATCATGCTTTCGAATCTAGGATTCAATGCAGATCTTGCAGTATCCATAGGAGGCACCATTAAGGCTACCGTCCCCTCTCTTTCCCTACAAACCTTGCCTCATACAAATTTCGATCCACTTACACTCTGCTATCTATTCGATGATGCTTCAACAATAGTCCGCGAGAAATAAGTTGGGGATGAAGCCAGGCAACTGCACAGCTCCGATAACTTGCGATAATCGCCGACTCGTAGACAGATATTAGACTAAAGCAACTCTGGATTTACAACTATTGACTCGTCACATAAACCTTTCTTAAGGGAATCTCCAATCGTCTAGGTCTGCCTTGCGTCGCCCGATCCGTAAACGCCGTCCCTCTACAACCTGAGAGGTGAGGACTTTCGGTCTGTACTCAATCATCCAAAGGACGAAGTCCATTGCGAGGTCCCCCAAGTAATGAAGGATGACGGTGACCATCCATGTGCATGACGGACAAGGTCCCACGCAAAGTGCTGAAGAAGCCTAGCACATCTACGCCATCGTTTTCTAAGACGCAGGTGGGACTGGTCCTCTCTGGATGGCATGGCAACGTCGGAGGTTTGTCATTCCAGTATCCATCAAATGTCAAAGAGAACAGGATCCCACCTCCCCATGTGGTAGAGCGCAGATATATTTTTCAAGCGGGGAGAGAGAGAGAGAGAGGAAACCCCAGGCGACATCTAGGTGGCACGCCCGCCGGGCAAAGGACGTAAAAACGGTGGCACCCGCCTACCATCATATTTCTCTTATAAACTCTAACCAACGACCGGTAGCCATCGAGGAACAGTGTCCTTCGATCCTTCCATCTCATGCCTGAGAAGGATTGGCCGCTCGTTCTCACCGAGGAAGCGGATACGTGACGAAAACATGATGGCGATACAGATGCAGAGACAAGTTACTAGCTCTCTGCGATGCATATGCTCCGTATGACTCGTGATAAATAGACCTTAAACACATCCGTCAATAGATATATATTATGCTTAAATATATGACCGATGTGGGGACAGGCAGTGCGATAGCAGCTAGCGATGGCTTGCATAACCCATGTGCGGAGGCCTTATTTAATGGAGAGGATACCAAACGGCTTATTCGATAGCCTCTGGTTCCTACCGAGAGTGGAGGTTTTTTGTTAATGAGGGGCGGACCAGTTTGAGCTCCGCATCAACGAGACGAAAGAAAGTCAACGATTGTGCGGTTGGAATGTTTCTCCCCCGATTTTAGGTCGAGGCATGTGCCACAGCGCGATCCCGGGGAAACAATGTGAAGCGGGGGTGGCGCATTAGAATAAGACCTTTTCCCTTTCCCTTATCTGCCAATGGAGTCGCCGGTGCAGGTACGACTTCGTGCGTTGATGTCTGAAAAACGGAGCATCGTGAGGAGCTTAGGTCAACGCCCTTTACATCCAGTCGGATTTACGTTGGAGAGGAAAGAGAGAGAGCTTGCAGTTGAATCAAGATCCCTAGACATTACCTTAAGAAAAGATCGAGCGATGGAAGATCCAATCTCGGTCCGCCAAGCAGCTCCGATACACAGATGATCTTCGGGGCTGTGTTCAGGTTAAAGGTTTCAAGCATAAAAAGCGCGGCAATGCTGCCGCATGCTTTAAGAAGAGCATTCCGCGAAGTGACGCAGAATTACGGCGCTGCTGCACAGGTAAGTCGGAGTAGTTGGCGCCCATGAAATTATAAATATTGGCAAGGGATGAGGAGAGTGAAAGGCGAGGCAGCGGCGGCAGCTAGGGAATAGAGACCCCAAACTCCCACCTTGCAGCTAGGAAATATTCTTCTCTGCTACTGGTGATGATGATAATACTGCTGTTGTTTCTATCCTCTCAGTTGAGGGATGCCGCGGCCGCCTGGACCTCTGCTTCTGCCACTTTCTACGGAGGAAGCGATGGGTCTGGCACCATGGGTGGGTCTTTTCCTCCTCCTCCTCCTCATTCTTCATCTTCAGGGTTTGGGAAGATGTGTGCCTAACCTGTGGAGCATGAAATCCGGTACAGGGGGAGCCTGCGGATACGGGAACCTCTACTCGGATGGATATGGGATAAACAACGCGGCGCTGAGCACGGTGCTGTTCAACAACGGGGCGACCTGCGGTTCTTGCTATCAGATAGTGTGCGACGCCGGAAAGGCGCCGCAGTGGTGTCGCAAGGACAAGTACATTACCGTCACTGCCACCAACTTCTGCCCGCCAAACAACGCCCTTCCCAACGACAACGGCGGCTGGTGCAACACCCCGCGCCGACATTTCGACATGTCCCAGCCTGCGTGGGAGACCATCGCCATATACAGAGCAGGCATCGTGCCCATCCTCTACCAAAGGTGATATGTCGTCGAGCACCCACTAATACGCTTCTCTCTCTCTGCCTCTCCCGCCCCCCTCCGCCCCCCAACCCCCTACCCCCCCCCCAACTAACTCATATCTATTTCCTTGGTTCTTTTCAGGGTGAGCTGCAAACGGAGCGGTGGGATGAGGTTTACCATCAACGGCAGGGACTACTTCGAATTGGTGCTGGTGACGAACGTGGCCGGAGCCGGAGACGTGGCGGCCATGTGGATCAAGGGGTCCAGGACCGGGTGGCAGGTGATGACCCGGAACTGGGGTACCAACTGGCAGTCGCTCTCTTACCTCAACGGGCAGAGCCTCTCCTTCCGGGTCCAGCTTAGCGACGGTCAGGTCCGGACTGCCAACAACGTGGCGCCCTCCAACTGGAGGTTCGGCCAAACCTACGCCACGTCCGTCCAGTTCTGAGGGCCCCATCCCCTTCTTCTTCCTTCCCTTCCGTCGCACTTGGCTGTGGCTCTGCACGCAGGAGAGGGAAGCCCACCTCGTGACGTCAAAATAACAATAATAATACTCATAATACTTGTAAAGTCGTCCCTTTGGAATGGTGTCCCGACCGTGCTGGTCTCTTACGGGGTGCAACCTGTCTTATCTCTAATCATTGCCCTCCACCGTCCGGGTCTCTTACAGTGAGAAGATAAGGAGCGCGGTTCTGTCGTTGTATATACGCAGCTCTCCCCTTCCATCTGCCCCCCAACCTCTCGCTCTCTCTCCCTCATCCTCATACAAAAGACGTTCAAAAAACAGGAATTTTAGTCCCGTCAAAGTACTTGAAAAGTTCCGTATATTCAGGAAAGGTGGGCACTAAATAATGTTGAACCTTCTGACCTGCCACGAGCTACCTAATTTCAATAAACGTACCAACAGATGAGTATTTGTTATTCTTGGAGAAAAAACTGCAATAAATTGTTAGCATTTGATTTTCAAATGCCTCAACTATTGTAAATAACTTGAATTATTACAATGAAAATAATGTAACGGAATTGAACTGTCTCCATCGTATAGATATAATGGCATCATGAGATCACTCAGTAGGTAGGAAGCATGCCAAGATAATGACCTCCCCTTTCCTTCAATTTAGCACAATATGAACCAAACATCTAACCCTCCCTTTAATGGTTTGAGCAATACTAGGGGCACAATTTTGCATACTAAATCTCTCAAGAACTTAATAAATTTAGTATCTCTAAAATAAACCAAATAATCACAATAATTGCTCAGACTATCTTAGATGTGAATAAACCCAAAGAAATCTAAGATTTTATTTATACCCATAAACATCATCCCTTCATTTATGGCGTCATCCTATTGAGTGGAATTATGTCCACACATGACTTCTGATAATGACATTATATCATCTTCAACTCTTGTTTTGAAACTGGATTTTCTTGTAAGCATACCAAATAATTGTCTCAGATCAATGGCCTACCAAATCAACTATATTTCATCCCTCTTGCTCCTTGTTCTATATTTGATGCATGAATACTGGGTTCGTCAATCAAAGCAGCAACTCAAGTCATAAGTAGAAGATCATCAATAATTGGAAATAAAATATTTTATATTTATTAGATAATGGCTCTTAGTGGTCTAGCACTTTTCAAAAGTCTTGAGTTTCTTACTAATGCAATGTTTGGTGTCTTTATCGGGACAATCACTTTGACATATAACCGATAAAATATTCACATGTTGTTTTCACGTCTAACTCTTTTCTAAGATAAAAAATTGTATTCTAATTTTTTTTTGGATAAAACTCAAGGTATTATAAGTACAATGTAGGTTTATACATCTGTCACCGCTCAGGAAGGGGTTTCCTGAATTGCTTTGACGGGGTTATCCTCTGCTATCATCCCTCTCACCATGTCCATGTCTGATTTCATCTTTTTCACAGTACTTTGATGTAAATCGTGATGCACTAGATAATGATGGATTCCTTTGGTCCACCATTTAACTTACTTAAAAGAATATTTTCATTTAATTTTTTTCTCTGATTCGACACCCTTAATTTGTTTCCTTGATAGAACACAATTACTCATATTGATCTTAACATCGAGGTGTGAAATGTTGGCGCCATTTAAGGGTTATATAGCCCTCGGTTCTAACCAAGCTCAAGGAACGGGGAATTAGGTTTTCTCGTTTTTGTTTTCATTTTGTAACAGCCTTCAGCTATGACCCCCGGCCCCCTTCTTCTTCTTCCCACAGTCCGGGTCCATTGTCGTCATTCAGTTGCATAGAATAACCCAAGGAACTAATGAATTGTAGCTTCTGAAATCGTAGAATGCAACAAGAGATAGAGCTAAATGGTGCACAGAATAATATTGGCGAGAGGAATTTTAGACCAACGAGAATCCGTCTGTAATTTATAATCCTGAGTATGGGCACAAAATTATCCCCATGTTGGTAGATATCGTGGCATAGAATGGGACGCGAGATTGACCTCTTAGCCGATTTATAGACAACCTGTCGGATTTATGGACTTGTACGCTGTCGAGTCTCTGGTAAATGAATTGAGTTAAAAACAGCCCTCCTTCTAGGCGGGTCTCGCCTCATCTCGTCTGTTCATGGCGCGGCTGCTTTTGGGTACGCGAGTATTCGATCCCGCCCTACTCGACTACACGACAGAGGGGTGGTAGAGGAATAGCTTGCCAGAACTCGTAAAGCTGTTGGGGGAGGGGGGGTTCCACCGCACACCTCAAGCATGCTTACAGCAACCCGTTGCTTTCTCATTCCCAACCCCCCCGACCCCCCGCGCTCTCTCTCTCTATCTTCTCTCCCCATGTCGCTTTTACAGATTTCAGCAGCTGCTGGGGCCATGGTCAAGCTGCCCAGAACCTGGGCCGACGACCACCTTCCCCTTGGCGTCCGGGATCGAAGCGACTGCACTGATCTGCCGCTGCAACAGCTCCATCTGTCTTTGGAGAGCCTGAATCATGGGCGATTATTTAAGTGGATCGATCAACTTACAATCGATTCAAACATTTCAATATGCACTCAAGAAGCGCTGGGCGATCGACGCACCTCAAGCTGCTGCTGGAGACCTTCGGTTCCCACCAGTAGAGGTGGCGGCGATGGCGGCCGGTGCTCCCTCTGGGAAGGGGTCGCCTCCCCGGCCAATTCCATGGCCTGTCGCTGGTTACCAGCCTTGGGTCGCAAACCATAGTTCAAAGACCTGAGGACAACAGGGAAGGGGAAACAGCATTCGGTCATCCGTCGTAGCGCGACTCGCATTCACACATCGATACTCTAAAAAAAAAACTACATGCCAGATCAATGGACAAAAAATTTCTCTAGAATCTCAGGTGAACATAAGTTTGACCCGAATGGCAGGGGGGCTTGCTCACCTTCGACACGTGAAAACCCTGTTTTAAGCAAGTAGTGAGAAACTAGTTTCAAGCAAGATGTTGCTTAAAGGGCACCACCCCCTCCCCCCTACATATTTGATAGTGATATTCCCACTAATGTAAAATTAATCAGAGGGCATATGGTAAAAAGAAAATCATCATCATCATCATGCCAAATAATAAATTATTTATAAGCCCAGATGATCGCATATGAAATATGACTCCAAAACAGAACATGAAAATGTATTGACGACCGCCTCTCAACACGGAAATTAACGTCCCGAATCTGCAGATAAAATGTCCAGAGGGCTCCCCTATTAGAAAGCGAAAGATTCCCTTGGATAGAGAGAGGCTAAAATTAGAAAGAAACCATCAAAATAAAAACAGCACAAAAATCAGCAGTAAGAGTCAAACTAAGGCAGGCCACACCAACGAAATACGAACCTTATTACAGGACGATGACTGAATGACTTCTGGTACACAGCAGCAGCAGAATCGGCAGCCTGTAGTCTGACCTCATGGGGACTCAAGCTGACCTTTTCCGCATTTTGGGTACCCCGACTGGATGTTTCTGCCGCCACAGATCCTGTTCACAGTTAAACATGTTTAATCACCAAGGTTTCTAAATCATACAATCAGATGATGAAAAACAGTCGAGAAAATTTCCACCACAGAGAGAGAGAAAGAGAGGGAGCACGCCAGATGGCAGTGAAACGCGATGCAGCCACACATAGCAGTGCCTCATAAATCGTAAGTTGACGTTCTGGTAAACATATGAAGAAGCGACAGTAAAATAGCATCATGCTCTCCCCAATTTCATCATTAGAAGAAATATGTGTCGACTATTAACTTATTCATAAAACCCAACGGAGTATGAGTGCAGGCGTGCACTCGTTCTTCAAAGCAGTTGATCCGTTGGGATTCAGGCACATACTGTTCCTTCGAAATTCCATCAAACCAACTAACAAACTACTGTAAATAAGCAGATATTCCATAAAACCACTGATTCCAACTTCCAACGAAAATGCTCACAACCAGCATGAAAAAAAATGACCTTCTTGCTTCTTCTAGAAGATTTCCAGAAGACTACATGAAAAAAGACAAACAAAAACCTTCCACACCCATCCCCTTCTCCCAACCCTAACTCAACACAAGCACACACAGAAATGTGCCTGACGGTCTTGTCTAATCAACCTCAGCGGAGAATGGTATAAGCAGTCACCTCAGCAGAGAATTAAGCGGTAATGATGACCTTGGAGTCTTCTCTACCCCAATAAACTTTTCTTGTGCATATTACTCAAAAACAAAAAAGAAATAACCACCAGGGTAATTATTCCCAATCATCACCTGCAGTTGTTGTCCTCAATTGAATGGTTTGGACCTCCTTAATTCGCTGATCGTAGGATCATCTTATAGCTAAAAAGATTAGAAGACTCATCATTGGCCTCCAAAAATTATGGACTTTTCATAGATGGGATATAGCATTTCTTTGCTTCCCATGTACTTCTTCCAATACAGAGGTGTTCTTTCAATGTCCTCCTTGCCTATGCTGGTGTCAGCTTTTTAAAACCTACAGTTGAAAAAATATTAACCTACATTTGAGAAAAATGATCTTGTTACAGAGCTATGAGCATAGAAAATACCACTGTAATAGCAGGAAGATACTAGACTTATATAATTGTATTTTTTTTGTTGTTCAGATATATAGAGATGTCCTTAGGTCATCACCATCTACATGAATAATTGTCACTACAAATCTGGGCTTCAATGAACATCCTAAAAATGGCACACCCATTAAAAGAAGTTGAGGACACCGGGGGCAGGATATTTTTCAGCAAAAAATCACACTGGATGTTAACCATAGATAGATGAATAGAATTGCTCATCTCACACCAAAAACATCTGAACTGCTCCTGAACTTCGATAATCTAATCGTCCATCAGTCAGATTTAACACACCAAAGTTCAACTCTAACCATTTATATTAAAATGCAGGAGTAGCTATCGAGCAATAATACTGAATTCTGAGAATTTTGCTATTTGCTTAATTTTTACATCCTTTTTATCTGTTTCGAGGACAGATCCTTCAGGATGAAAATCCAAGCATATAATAATATGAATTCCCTGTTAAAAATGACAGTATGATTTTACTGACAAAGTTTCAACCTGAAAGTAGCTAATTTCGTTGGCAAACATCTTTATTTGAAAAGGGGCAACCATTTTGGAAAAGGCTGCGAGTACTCATCAGGAGATAGGAGATGAAAGGTCCAGACCTTTCCACATATGTATACCCTTCTAGGCAAGACAGTAATAGTAAAAGTAGATATACCATGGAAACAAGTAGATCATAAGATTTACCAGAATGATGACTCTGAGATGGTGTTGCTTGTTGTCTCCCAGATCCATGAGATACGTTGTCAGGAGGGATAACCAAAGATCTGCATGTCGGGCAGGTATGTTGTCTCTCCAACCATGACCTCAGGCAATGCACATGAAATAGATGTCCACAGAGCAATTTCTTGGCAGTAACCATCTCCTCGCGACATATGATGCATGTTGCATCGCCTCTGTTTTTAGGAAAAAGCCTCAGTAGAGCACTTCACGATACTGAATATGAAGTAAAAATTCATCAACTAAAACAGAACTCACGAATTAAGCTCCTCAGGTGTTGCGTCTGGGAAACGCTCATTCATATTTGATGTAATTCTCCGGTATCGGAGATAATCTGCAATACGGGCTTTGAAATTCCGGAACGTCTCATAGAGTTCACGTATCAGGTGTAGTGGTACCTGATAGCTCCTGAAAAAAATGAAAAATTCAATTTAAGATACTTCCTCAATAAAAGACATTGGTTCTAAAAGGAACAAAACAGGCATTTAATAAATTAGAATATATGGGTAGGGTTCATCATGGTCCCTGGTAAGAAATATTCAGCTAGACCACACTTACCCCTGCTTGTGAGTCAAGTACGCAAAGCCTAAACAAAAAAAAATCAAGTAAATTTCTAGGGTATAACTATCATGTTCTCCCTGTATGTGAATATTAGAACACAGAGATCAACATCTATCAATTTCTAGGGCTAAATTGAAACATCCCGAAATGGAAAATAGTCAAGTAGTTTATAGCCACAAAGGTGATCCTATTAATCATAAAGACCATCTAACCAATTCTTTGTCTCCAATGAAACCTACAGTGTCTTTTTATTCACTTAAAAAAAGGTGGGTACAAAGAAAAGAAAAACCAAAAGTTTTCTGGCAATGATAACAAGAATTACAAAAAATGGTTGTTTCTAACTGAAGAGAACAACAAGACAAATTACTGACTAATAGGTAAGGATTAAGAGGCTGAAAATAAAATGAACCTATGAGCCAACTTTAAAGTTGTGCAATGTTTACTGTGGGTTTCTCCACGAAACAGACTGTTCTACTAGGAATATCGGGAAACGGATAAGAAATCCTAAGTTTCTAGGTACCCACATAAATGCTTCAAGAATCCCTCTCAGACGCTAGCTCCCCATACCTTCATACATAACATCTTCCCCATTTTCTTCATCCCTTAAACTCAAAGGTCTAAGCCCATCAAACCAACGGTTTCATGAGCAAGTACCTAAGCCATCCAGTTGTGTATCATACATGAATGCTAGGTCATACGGACACCAAGGAAGAGCGCACATGTTGCTCAAATAAAAATAGCAAGAACAGAAATATAATAAAAGAGAAGAATAAGTCCACCATCACTCAACTTATTCATAAGATCGATAAATCCTCGCATTATTAAAATGAAAATAATGATTTTTCGTATATGTCATGCATATATCTGTATTAAATCAAGTAGTATCAAAAATGAGACTAGCATGAAAAAGGATAAAGACAAATATCAAAGAATACACAAGATCTGCATGTGTATTGATTTAAAAGTCACATAGTATCTAAATTCATAAAAGAATATGCATGGAAGAACTGCTTACATGAAGATCACCATAAAGAAGAAAAGATACATGGACAAGTGAAGTAAATCTCGGATAAGTTCCAAATAAAAGGTATACACAGCCTTTTTCTCCCACTGTCCTTCCATGAGCATGTCACTAACATAGAATGTGTACTTCACAAATGTTGAGACTGTTGTTGTTGCTAGTATCATGTACCTAGGACATTAGTACCAAATATAAAAAGTTATAATTGGAAGCATCTTGAGAGAAACAAACTTCATAAAGAAATAAATTCACCCCAAACAGTCAAGCTTCAAAATATTCTTTTGGAAATTGAGGATAACCTTCATGTCTATGGAGATACACAAAAAAAAAAAAAAAACTGCAACAGTTTCAGGATTTTGGTTAATGTGAACAAGGAACGACTGATTCTATATGGAAGGATGCAAAAACAGCCAGTTCCTGCTCAGAACCAACAAGATTGACTAGATGTATCCCAGTAGGGTGAGTATAGGCAGCTCCAGTCCAGCAGGGCAGGGCAAGGCAGGGCAGAAAAAAAAATGAGATATGCTTGACAACAGTCTGAAAACCTTTTCTACAAAAAATTAAGTTTTCAAGAAGGCACAACTTCTGCATATACATTGATTGATTATAACAAGTTACTCGCATGTTAGATACGTATATTTGTGTCTTGAAATGTGGAGTTCGTGTATAAAATTAGCGTGGTTCCAGATTGATGACTCATCAACGAATAAAAAGTTTCGAAGGTATTAATTGCTTTGATATTCTGGGGCACAAGATATTGAAAATGGGGGGAAGACTGATTTTACTAAGGATTTGTCTGGAAAGTCAAAAGACTAGGTCTGAAAAACACAAGTCTACTTTAAAATGTAACCATTGTACCAAAAAATACTGGATATGCAACCGCTAAAGTACACACATTCAAAACGATTATCATTCAGTTCGATGGCAGGACATCAGACCAAGGAGACGAAGATGGAAGTTCTGGCCTTATCTTTCAGTGCTCAACAGTCCTTGTCACATGGGAGGGATATCAGCTTGTTCGTTAAATAAAAAAGAAAACGAAGCAACATACAAGACATAGATACACATTCCATCGTTCTCAGTGCCACGAACTGACTAGAGAATCTTTTCAGGTTGACTCTCTCGTTAACTCGGAATTGGAAATTAGGCACACCAGCCAACAAACTAGTTCCACTCGAGTGGATACAGCACAAGATCCCCACCGAAAACCGAAAGTATCAAACCAAAATAGAGGCATAACCTATAATAGTAGGTTTACTATTAATCCTAATAAAGATAAAAATAAAAAAAAGGTGAAAAAGAACAGAATTGTAGTAATTCCTTCAACGAATGAGGTCCTGATTTAAAATGATTGCACCCCAACAAAAAAATGAACATACTGGAAGATGGCACAGATAACACCAGCACTAATGATATAGGACATTTTTCCTTGGTTGACATCTGATCATAATAGAATACACGAACTTCCAAAAGAAACAGCAAAACCGACGCTGCATGGCAACTACGTGTATATTCCACTCAGATTTACTTTATTGTCTAAGAAATTATGGGTACACTAATATATAGTAAATGCTCACAGAATAAAAAATAATTGAAATGATGTTAATTAGTAAACACGGCAATGTGGTGACGATGAGAATGGTTTTGCAGCGAGAATTCTTTGTTCATTTCCTAATTTATTTCAAGAATAAACTAGAATCCGATGATATTTTGAAGATTCCAGCGTACAGTAGAATTGTAATTTAATTTCTTGCATACAGCGGCCAAATACCAAAAAAATATCAGAGATTAAAGTTTTCTTCAAGATCAAATAATGTATCTAAATTTCTCTGGAATCAATGATAACTCGGAATTCAAAAGAATTTCGGCAAATGATCTTTCTTGTACAATTAATGCAACATAAAGTGAAGCCCATAGGATATTATTAAAAGAGATGCTTACTCAAAGGAAAAGAAAAGTGCCACTGATGCCTCTCGGGTTTGTATCAAGGGTCGAATGGAACTGTACAGGAAAAGGCAATCTACGAGCAGTAGAAACCCCATGAACGAAACGATCCTGATGTGAGAGAGAATGGAAACAGTTGGAGTTGTTTCTATATATTCAACCCTCTTTTGGGCCAGCCAATGCAAAGCCTTGATCAGAAGAAGTGCAGTGACCATCCCGAGAAAACCAACAGAAAAGTCTTGCCGGAAGGTTGTGATTGCAAACAGAATTTCCATCACCTCTCTCCAAGATTGTTCATTCAATCTTTCAACCTCCGCTTCCCGAAGAGACCCCAAAAATAAACACTTTACCAACTGCCAAATAATGCACATAATGACCAAACCCATGTTCATCAGAAGCACGAGACATATCTTCGATGTGGACAAATACACCATGGCAGGGTAAAACTGCTCTCTGCTACTAAATGCATGGTAAATGGCAGCTATCGCACCAAGGAAACTGAGACCAGCATAAGTCCCAAGCTTCATCATTTCCTACAACAGATTAACAAAAGAAGGTACGTCAGTCATGTGATATGTGGAAAAAAATATATTTAATGCATGAGATACAAGAAAGAACCGGATCTAATTCACTAGCTGAATATAAGAATACGTCACCATCTACCAATATCGACCAAGATATATATTTGGAATTCTGAGATTCGAATTCTTGAAAACCGTATCTCCCAGAAGAGTATTTACAAAGAAACGCTTCCATCAAGACGTCTTTAAAAAAATCGTGCACAAAATTAGGGCATTACTAGCTGTCGGGAAGATCAACGAGGTGGACTTGGTCAGGATCTTAAAAGGAGTGATAACCGGGTTCAACTGCGAATTGCCGACCTCTGAACAACTCCAGCTGTTCTACACATCCCTAGAGAAGATCTGACGGCCACAGGAAATATTAACATGGAAAAAGGGTGCGAATAGCAGTCACGACAATGAGGAAACAACACACCGGGGATGGCACAGGGTTCAAAAGATAAACAGGCCATCTCAAAAGGTCGACATAGGTCGCGCTAGAAAACTACGGACAGATAGAGCAAACGCGGCATTGCGATTAATAAGTTAGAAAAGACAGTATAGTGTATTGTATCCACGAAATAGAAGCCAGCGTCAGCGACCTCCTGGGAAGACAGCAGAGAAAATTCAAGCACCGCCGACGGACGAAAGATCGCGGACAGAGAGATAAACATCATCCGGCGCCACGAAAAAATCCCCAGGGCAATAAGAAACCCAGACTGATCAAATATCCTCCGATCTACCAGCCAAACCCTTCGACTCCTCCAGAAAAACGCCGGGATCGATTGTTTAAGGGGGCACGGATCCCAGGAGAATCAAAAGGAGGAAAAGAGAAGAGAGAACCTCCGCAGCCGACAGTCCCAGCGTATCAGGCCTCTTCAAAGAGAGAGGAGAAGGAAGAAGAAGAGGCAAAAGGAGGCAACGGATTCCGACGAGAGAAGAAGAAAAAGAAGAAGAAGAAGGGGAGAGAGGAGCCCGATTTCTTCCACCCCCCGCCCCCCCCCGACGAGTCGTCGGAGAAATGCCAGGGGCCGTTCCGCCCCCGCTCGGGCGGAAGGGCGGTGCGTTGGCGGTTGAGGTGCTAAGGAGGTGCACTGTCACCGTGCGTTTTCGATTAGTTGGAGTGGGGAGGCATGGGGCCCCAGTGGGAGCACCGAACCCCGACTGTTGTTCACGCCTTCCGTGAAAATCGAAATGCACAGATTCTTGCCGAACCACGAGTTTCGCGTTTAACCAATCAATGGATGCCACGTAAGATGAAAAATACGTGGAGGAACCGCGCGCCGTCGTCATGTTGGGCCAAAAGAAAATAGAAGACGGTATAATTGTACATCCTTCTAAAAGGCATCAACCGCTTGAGGTCAGCATAAAAGAATCGAAGCTACTTCTCAACCTCGCATTTTCCACGTAATGTTTTTGAAAGTATTATTAAACGAAAGACCCGACGAAATTAAAAAGACCATGATGGACACGACGGGTGTCGAATAGGGCTGCGGCCACTGCAACGTCACCATTGGATGGGCGACTCTAATTTATCGGAATTTTTCAGCTATATTGGGGACTTGGATTGGGAATCCACGTCAGCGAGACGCGGTGATCTTCACGTGGAGCTCGAGTGATCTTATCCTCCATCTGGGCCCACCACAATGAACCCTCAAAGATTTCTCTCTCTAGGCTCTCTCTTATCTTCTACGGGCGGGCATATTCGTTCCCCATTGCTGGCCTCTCGGGTTCAGAAGGTCGCTCGCTGACGTCATTTTTTCCTGGTCCGATCCACAGGATCCGCACGTCCCGTGGCAGCCCGGGGCGCCGCCGCCGCCGCTGGTAACCTCGCCGCGGGAGGAAGAAGAAGAAGGGAGGAGGGCCTCTGCGATTGATTCCTGGATGCTCTTCTCTCGGGCGGCGCTTCCGCCACCATTTCCGCCCACTGACCTCGCCTGCGGCCAGCTCGTCTGCCCTAAATCCAATCCTCCCCCCTGACTGAGAGGGTTAACGGGGATTCGGAGATGTCGTCGTCCCGGAGCACACGGTCGTCCACCAGCTCCACCAGGAGCCGGCAGAGCGCCCGCCTCCTCGCCCAGACGACCGTGGACGCGAAGCTCCACTCGGATTTCGAGGAGCAGGGCGACTCCTTCTACTACTCGCAGACGGTGGCGGCGAACCAGAACCATCCGCCGCCGTCTTCGGCAGCCGGGGAGGAGAAGAAGAGATCGGATGTGTCTGCGTACCTGCAGCACATCCAAAGGGGGAAGCTCATCCAGCCGTTCGGCTCCCTGCTGGCGCTGGACGAGAAGACCTTCACGGTGGTGGCCTACAGCGAGAACGCTCCGGAGATGCTGACCACGGTGAGCCACGCCGTTCCTAGCGTCGGCGACCACCCCGCGCTGGGCGTCGGCACCGACGTGAGCTCCATCTTCACTGCCCCCAGCACGGCGGCGCTGCGGAAGGCGCTGGGCTTCCCGGAGGTCTCCCTGCTCAACCCCATCCTCGTCCACTGCAAGACCTCCGGCAAGCCCTTCTACGCCATCGCGCACCGCGTCACCGGCTACCTGGTGGTCGACTTCGAGCCTGTGCGGCCGTTGGAGCTGCCGATGACGGCGGCGGGGGCGCTGCAGTCGTACAAGCTCGCTGCCAAGGCCATCTCGCGGCTCCAGCAGCTGCCCGGCGGGAGCCTGGAAAGGCTCTGCGACGCCGTGGTGCGGGAGGTCGCCGAGCTCACTGGGTACGACCGGGTGATGGCGTACCGGTTCCACGAGGACGACCACGGCGAGGTGGTGGCGGAGGTGGCCGGGCCCGGGCTGGAGCCCTATCTGGGCCTCCACTACCCGGCCACCGACATCCCTCAGGCCTCCCGCTTCCTGTTCCTGAAGAACAAGGTCCGCGTGATCTGCGACTGCCGCGCGAAGCCCGTGAGGGTGAAGCAGGACGAGAAACTCCCCTGCGAGCTCACCCTCTGCGGCTCCACCCTGCGCGCGCCGCATAGCTGCCACGCGCAGTACATGGAGAACATGGGCTCCGTCGCCTCCCTAGTCTTGGCGGTGGTGGTGAATGAAGGCGACGACGACGACGAGGACGGCGACGGAGGCGGCGGGAGGGAGTCGGCGAGCCCGGGGAGAAGCCGGCTGTGGGGGCTCGTTGTCTGCCACCACGGGTCACCCAGGTTCGTTCCCTTCCCGCTGAGGTACGCCTGCGAGTTCCTGGCGCAGGTGTTCGCCATCCACGTGAACAAGGAGCTCGTCCTGGAGAGGCAGGCGAGGGAGAAGAGCATCCTGAGGACGCAGGCGCTGCTCTGCGACATGCTGCTGCGAGACGCCCCTCTCGGGATAGTCTCTCGGAGCCCCAGCATCATGGATCTGGTCAGGTGCGACGGTGCCGCCCTCCTCCATAGGGGCAGGGTCTGGAGGCTCGGGCGGGCGCCGACGGAGGCCCAGGTGCGGGACATCGCCGAGTGGCTATGCAAGTACCACGCGGACTCCACCGGCCTGAGCACGGATAGCCTGCGCGACGCGGGGTACCCGGGGGCAATGGAGCTCGGGGAGGTCGTCTGCGGGATGGCATCCGCCAGGATCAACTCCGGGGACATCCTCTTCTGGTTCAGGTCTCACGCCGCCGCGGAGATTCGGTGGGGCGGCGCGAAGCACGATCCGGCGGACCGCGACGACGGTGATGGCGGCGGGAAGAGGATGCACCCTCGGTCCTCCTTCAAGGCCTTCCTCGAGGTGGTGAAGATGAGGAGCTCGCCGTGGAAGGACTACGAGATGGATGCCATCCACTCGCTTCAGATCATCCTCCGTGGGACCGTCGACGGCGGCGGCGGTGCCAAGAACAGCCCGGCGGAGCGGAACGTCGACGGGATGGTTGAACTGAGGGCGGTCACCAACGAGATGGTGCGCTTGATCGAGACGGCGACGGTACCGATCCTGGCGGTGGACGCCAACGGCCTCATCAACGGGTGGAACCACAAGATCGCCCAGCTGACCGGCCTTCCGGTCCGGCAGGCCATCGGGAAGCACCTGCTCACCCTCGTCGAGGAGTCGTCCGCCGACAGCGTGAGGAAGATGCTCTACCTGGCGCTGCAGGGTAAATAAATAACGGCCCCCCTTCTTCCTTCCTCTCCTCTCCTCCTCCCCTCCTGGTAGTCAGAGAAGAATTAGCCGGCCGTCATGTTCCGCAGGCGAGGAGGAGAAGGAGGTAGAGTTCCAGATGAAGACGCACGGCGACCGGCGGGAGGAGGGCCCGGTGGTCCTGGTGGTGAACGCCTGCGCCAGCCGCGACCTCCATGAGAGCGTGGTGGGAGTGTGCTTCGTGGCCCAAGACATGACCGGGCAGAGGATGGTGATGGACCGCTTCACTCGCATCGAAGGCGACTACAAGGCCATCGTCCTCAACCCCAGCCCTCTGATCCCGCCGATCTTCGCCGCCGACGAGTTCGGCTGGTGCTCGGAGTGGAACCCGGCGATGGCGAGGCTCTCCGGGTGGGAGCGCGAGGAGGTGGTCGACAAGATGCTCTTGGGCGAGGTCTTCGGCGCGCAGGCCTCGCTCTGCCAGCTAAAGAACCAGGATGCCTTCGTCAATCTCAGCATCGCCATCAACGACGCCATGGCCGGCCAGGAGACCAGGAAGGTACCCTTCGGGTTCCTCAACCGCGGGGGGAAGCACGTGAACTGCCTGCTCTCCGTCAGCAAGAAGGCGGACGCCCAGGGCGCCGTCACCGGCATCTTCTGCTTCCTCCAGACCGCCAGCCAGGAGCTGCAGCAGGTGCTCCGCGCGCAGCGGCTGTCGGAGCAGACCACGGCAAAGAGCCTCAAGGCCCTGACCTACATCCGCCACGAGATCAGGAGCCCCCTCTCCGGCATTGACTTCTCCAGGGAAATGCTCCAGCGGACCCCTCTCTCTGACGAGCAGAGGCAGATCCTCGCCACCGCGGCGAGCTGCCAGCTCCAGCTGGACAAAATCCTCGGCGACATCGACCTCGATAGCATCACGGACAGGTTCGGCCACCAAATTCCATCCTCCTCTGCCAAATTCATCCTCTGACCCCCGATCGAACGCCGCAGCTGCCTGGATCTGGAGATGGTGGAGTTCTCTCTGAGGGAGGTCCTGGCCGCTGCGGTGAGCCAGGTGATGATCGCAAGCAAGGCCAAGGGCGTGGAGATCGCCTACGACCTCACCGGGGAGTCCCTGTCGGAGATCCTCTACGGGGATCGGCTGAGGCTCCAGCAAATCATCGCGGACTTCCTACTGGTTTCAGTGAAGTTCTCCCGAAGCGGCGGCCAGCTCGAGGTCGCTGCGAGCTTGACCAAGGACCGGCTCGGGAAGAGCCTGCACGCCGTCCGAATGGAGCTCAGGTAGGGTCCGAATGGAGTCAGTAGTGGCCGGCGAGTCCGTCCATCGCGTCGCGATCTCGCCTGGAATGAATGAATGAATGAATGAATCTGAGAACGCCGCCGCTGTCTGGTTGCAGGATCACGCACCACGGCAATGGCGTCCCGGAGGAGCTCCTCGCGCAAATGTTCGGGGACGCGGATGAGGCCTCCGACGACGGCGTCAGCCTGCTCGTCTGCCGGAATCTCCTCAGGCACATGAACGGAGACGTCCGCTATTTGAGGGAGGCGGCGGGATCCTCCATCATCCTCTCTGCTGAGCTCGCGTCCGCGCAGAAGAACCAGAACCTCATTCACCCTCCCGAATAGAGAAGAGCCTCTCTCTCTCTCTCTCTCTCGCTCTCTCTCTCTCTCTCTCTCTCTCTCTCTCTCTCTCTCTCTCTCTCTCTCTCTCTCTCTCAAGCTAATTTGAACGGTGTGGTGAGAAGAGTTTACGGACTGTAAATACGAAAAAAGAATGCATTTATGGGCGTAATTTTATTCCCAGATATTTACTGCCGCTGTGGGATAAACAATAATTGTTATTAATAATAAGCGTAAAATAGCGCGACCTGAGTCGGCTGCGGCCTGTCTGGCACCGACACGTGCGGACGTTGGAGCCGAGGCGTCACGTGCGTACCTAACCATCCCGCCCTCTCATTATCGCACGTGCGATGAACGTGCTTGGGAGGAACAACGTGCGAACGAGCAACGGCTTCGCTTTGTGGAGCAAATAAGAGGAAGAGGCCGGGGAGGGGGGAGGGAAGAGCGTCGGGGCGGTCGAGCGGTGGCGGAGGGACGACTGGTCGAGATGGGGTAAGTACTCGTTTCTCAAACCTTCTTCGGTTCACTACGATGCCTGCGCACTGATTTCGCCTGCGTGTTGTTGCTGTCGATGCCGCGGGGCGGTCGAGGATTCCCTGGTTCGGAATTAGCGGTGCAGACGCACTCCTGTTCGCTTGCTTCAGGATTGCTGGACGGTTGGATGGATATTTTTCGCTGTCCTGTTCCTCACCGATTGTGATCGTTAGGCTGTAAACACTTTTCTATTTTCCTGTTTCATTCTTGTGCACCGTTTTTGACACTAGGATCCTGATATGTGAAATGGACGGTACACCTCGGGGAAAAGGTCAACTGACCGAAAGAAAACTTGAACGCCGGATTCACAAAGGAGACCTGATTAGAAGTAAAATTATGTGACGTAATGTGACCAATGGTTTTTTTATGCGTGGAATAGAGTCGAGATGACCTAGGCGGCGACAGAGAGCCTCTATAACTTCTTTCTACTGGTTTTTTATTCTCTGGTTAATACTCGAGGTCCATATTGTTGGAGAAGTCTTTTGAATGGATAGCACTCTTTTCATATGTTTCTTTCAATCTAAGGAACTACAGAGAAGAAATGTAGATCCATGTCATTGGTGGAATATGAGAGAGAAGTTGAAAGTTTTCCTTTGATGGAGACTTTACTCACCTCAGGAACACCGTGGCCCTACAATTGACGAGTGGTCGTTGCTGAATGAAGATTTATTAAGATCAAACCTCGACAATTTAGAAACATAATTTCAGCATAGACGTTTCAATTCTTTTCAGTTTCGAGGTTAGAGAGATCCAGGGATTATATAAGAAGATAGATTTTAGGGATAAAATTTCCGTCATCCCGATTGGACTAAGAGTTTGAAAAGTAATCCTTTTGTCTCACTGTCCTTATGGATCCTAATAGGTACAAAACTCGTTACTTTAGGGATCTCATGACCATTTAATAAATTAGTTTCTCCAATATTTGCACTAAGCATAAACTTTCTTCGCGAGCATGATTTTATGGCCCTTTTTAGAAGCTAAGCTCGGAATCCCAAGTGTTTGCTTTCATATATATCATTTTTCTTCCTTCCCATTTTTAATTTCGCTGTTTTACGTTACATCATCTGTGGAAAACATGCTTCGAGTATTCGTCTCCTTAGTCATCAGTGCTACCCTCAACTGTCAGGAAAGGACCAATTGAAAAAAAACATTGTATAATTCAGGTGCTGGAATTGTGAATGAACTCGGTTAGGTATTGGATTAGTCCTGTATCGCCTAGCTTTACATGAGTATGGAGTAGACATTGTTCTGAGAAACGTGCTTCCTGGTTTATAATCCTGTATGCATTTCAAGGCTTATTTTTTTACTTTTGAAAAAAAAGAGGCCAAACACGATATAATTTTAATTAAGAATTTTCAGTGTGTTCTTTAGTTTTACCTGCGTTTTTTTAGCTTTTGTGATCTTCACTTTCCCGGAGATGTCTAAGTGAAGGTTTTTAAACTGGGACAAATTGTTTGTTTTTCTGGTTCACTGTAAAAAAATTTGTCAGCTGAAGTTAATTAAATGTGCGAAGCTATCTTCACTTGCATGCATAAGATGAAGCTATCTTCTGATTGTGTTTTACGGTATCTTCGTCGATTTTGTTTGGCATATTATTAGTTACTGATTGTACTAAATCTCCATTTCAGTTTTTATTCAACTTTGATTTCTATTGGTGGTTCTGAGTCGAGGTCTGCAATCGGATGGAGTTGAATGCATCTAGAAATTTTGTTTCTCATCAAACATCCTCTCGCCAGTAGAGTTGTCTGTCCTCTCAGGCAGAAAATCATTTTTTTCTGGCTGTTTGTTTGTTTCCTTTAGAGGGAATCATAGAGAGTCTAATAGAATATGAACCCAACAGGGTCCGCTCACCTGTTAGTGTGTTAGTGAGGCATTTAGAAATTGACCCAATAATAGAACTTGTGGCAAACACTGCCCTCCTCTCTCTATAGTTATAAATAGGTGAGCATAAAGGGATACGAATTTGGCATGATTTCCACCTACTTTGACGATAACCTTAGCATTTGAATTGAAATCGTTTTCAGGCTTGGAAGTCCAACGACATTTCAGGAAGTTGAGTTGGGAAGATCTTGAGGCTGACATTTTCCTCAATGTGATGAGGGTCTGATTTTGAAAAGATAGTGCTTTTGCCTTGAGCCATCCGGGAATCTAAAAACTTCAATACTCATGACTTCAGTACCATTTTTTTCGAAAATTTGCATCAAATTCAAGCTTACTCGATGTGTGCGATCCTCTGGTCGTCTTAAAATCTAAGCTCCTCGCCACAAGTGATTCCTCTCTGCGTATTGTGTTTACTCCCACCTATTCTAAGTTTAAACAGCATGCTTACATTCTCTTCCATGACCCCGTAGCCATCCATCACTGATTCAACTGCCAGAACTGGCTACGAGCCCAGCTGTTTATCAAACTGACTATGTGTTTCCCAGGGTTGAGCTCATGGTAATTTTGGGCCATAAACTGCCATGTTTTCATACATTTTTATTGAATCATCATCGCGGACACATATCACGAATTTATTTTTTAAAACATTTAAAAAATATGAATACCCGACCCACAAGAAAGCGTTCTTATTATGTGACACCACCAAATTTCGTTTCGTTTTGTTTCGTTTCGTTTCGTTTCTGTCATTCTTCGCTTACTTAGCGCTTGTGATCTTCACTTTCCTGACGACCTTAGGTCGGACAGTAATTATATCCCAACTTGTCTGCTTCTCTGTAAACGTCTTCACTAAGTTGTGTAATGTCGTATCACTTGTTGCTGCGAGTGGAGGTCTCTAACAATCAGATGATTCTGACTGTTGCATTTCTCAGCAGCTGAGCAAATAACAGAAAAAACTACCTTAGTATTCCTTGCGTATCTCCCCTCTGAATTGGAGTTTGTCTTCCCTCCTTCCCTCCCCTGCAGAGAACTCGTCTGCGAAGGTCTGATCCCCGGGCTGCCGGACGAGCTCGCCCTGATGTGCTTAGCCACCCTATCCCACGGGCACCATGGGGTCCTCGAATGCGTCTCGAGGAGGTGGAGGGACGCGCTGAGGAGCGAGGAGTACTCGCGGCTCAAGGCCAGGGAGGGCCTCTGCGGCGACTGGCTGTTCGTTCTGACGGACGAGAAGCCCGGCATGCGCTGGAGCGCCTACGACCCCGGCGCGGACCGGTGGCACGCGCTGCCGCCGGCGCCGGGAACCGACCCCCGGAGCACCCACTGCGGGTTCGCCTGCGTCGCCCTGCGAGAGCGGTTTCTGGTGCTGGGCGGGTACCCCGTGAGGCCCCCGCTGGAGGAGCACGGCGGCGGCGGCGGCTGCTCCTCCTACCGGCGCCCGGCGGCGACGCGCGAGGTGATGAGCTTCGACCCGTACAGGAATCGGTGGAGCGAGGTCGCGGGGATGAGGACCCCGCGGTGCGACTTCGCCTGCTCCGCCGTGCGCGGGCGGGTCCTCGTCGCCGGCGGGTGCGACTCGCCGGGCTCCCAGGGGCTCGCCTCCGCCGAGTCCTACGATGTCCTCGAGGACAGGTGGGAGGACCTGCCGCCAATGCCGACCCCGCTACGGAGCTGCTTCAGCGTCTCCCACGACGGCAGGTTCCACGTCGTCGGGCGGAGCGCCAGCGAGCCGCGACATTTCATCTTTGACCCCGCATGGGGCAGTTGGGCGCCGGCGCCGGCGGCCTGGCAGCTCCACAGGCTGCCCCGCAACGCCGCGGCGGCGCTGGACGGCCGCCTGTACGCCATCCTCGAGCGGGGCCTCGCCGCGCTCGAGGGCTCGGGCGGCGCCTGGTCGGTCCTCGATGGCCCACCGCTGTTCGACCTGCCGGACCACCGCCGCAAGCTCCAGCCCTCCGGCTGCGGGTTCGCCGGGCTCCGGGGGAAGCTCTATCTCGTCGGCGGCAAGGCCATCCGCTACGACATGGACGCCCGCGTCTTCGACATCGTCAAGTTCGCCTGCACCCGCTACTGCGACCCCGCCGCCGCCCCCCTCCAGTGGCGGGACGTCCGGCCGCTCTTCCGCTCTCGCGGCGCCGTCCTCGGATGCGCCGCCCTCCAGCAGTGAACCCCTGACCTCGCCACCGTTGCCGATCATATATGTTCTATGTAATAAGATGATGATGATCGATCCCTCTCTCTCCCTCCACGCAGAACGATTTGGAGTTGACCGATGAGTTGACTAGGTTATGGCTCAACGAGATTGCGTCCCTCGACGATTCGTCGTGCTCTTCTGGAACTGGCTTCTTCCGTGGGATTGGGCCAATTTTGACGCCGAAATGAAACTGGGCCAGCCCGTTAGCGAGACGGTGGGCCCAGCCCGCGATTTGAAAAAGTGGCGCCTTCTTCTCTCCTGGGGGCCAGAAAGAAAGAAGCCAGTCGTCGTCGTCTTCGTCTTCGTCTTCGTCTTTGTCCCGTCCGTCAGTAGTTCGGAGATATCGGCCGCGTCCGAGCAGTCTGGTGAGCCCCGGCTGGGCTTCACCTCCCCCCTTGCCGAG